AGATGGACGAGCATTCTCCTCAATACCAGTGTGTTACCACTTTCACCATACTTATCATAATTGTTTACTAATTTAAAATAGTAGTTCACCTTTGAATACACAAACCTTGAGCGATAAGACTCAATCAATACAGTTAGACTCAGATACTACTGCAAGTCAAAATACTGCATGTATACTACCAAGTGGGCATCAACCTGAGTGTTCTAACCACTCCTGCGAGATTGAAGGTAAGTTAAATATCACTATAGTTACTATGATAAGTTCTAACATTTTTTTCAGAAGATTTATCCGAAATTCGTGTTCTAGACCCCTGTGAAGTACCTTCCTCCTTTACGGGAAGCAAGCAGAAAACCCGCAAGCCTCGCCGGCGTCCAGTTGAATGGTCTCCTGAAATGACATCTGTGTTGTTGCGAGAACTAGTTCAAGCTATTAGGACTGGAAAACGATCTGATAATGGGCTAAAGATGGAAGTTTGGGATGAGATTGCTGAGACAGTTCTTCTGATTGCTGGACCTGGGGCTCCTGTAACAGGTGAGAGATGTCAAGGCAAATTGGAGACCTTGAAGAAAAAATGGAAGATGTGGACCAGGTTGAAAGATTTGAGTGGTTTTGGGGTTGATCTTAAGACTGGTGCGGTTACTGCACCAGATGAAGTATGGGAGGAAGAAATAAAAAAACAGCTTGGAATATGAGAGTTTCGTGACAAACCACTTGCAAATGCAATTGAGTTGGCGGAAATCATGGAGGGAGTTCAAGCAACAGGTGGTCATGCAATCTATCCTGGCCATACAAAATTACAACAAATCACGATTCCTTCGCCCCTTAGGACAGATCTAGCAACTCAGGCTGATCCAGAGCAGACCAGCCCCGATACAAGTCCTCATCAACATAAGCGGAGAAGGCTAGCACCACTGGGACATATTCGACAACCTCCAAGGAGGGTTTCTGAACGGCTAATCACTGCTGTTGAAGGGATTGCCACTACACCAATTACTATTGCAGCATCCCAATCAGTTGTTCAGCAAGCTGTATCAAAGCTTCAACAAAAGTATAAAGGAAGACCAGGGTGGTCAACACAAGATATTGTTACTGGATATGAGCTTTTTGAGAACCCAGTTAAGGCAGAAGTGTTTTTAGCATTAGAGGAAGGTGAAGATCAGGAGCTTTGGTTAAGAGGTCAAATAGTACGTTACAAGGCCTAGGAATTCTACAGCAGTTAGTCTACTGTGACTGGTTTTGGTATTGTACATAATCAAGCCACATTTGTGTTGCACGTTTGTCTCGATCTTGTTTCATCTCTCCCATATCTTGTGCATCTCTAACATTTCCTTCATCCTCCTCCTCATAACTGGGATTTGATTCCTCAGAGTGATTGATGTTTTCCAAGGATGAATCAGCATCCTGGTAAAATTGATCCTCCTCTCCATTTGCCCGGTGTCGAATAAAGTTATGTAATGCACAAACTACCAATATATGTTGAGCTTGTGTGGTAAGGTCAAACTCTGGAGCTGTATTGAGAATTTGAAACCTCTTCCGTAAAACTCCAAAGATACGTTCAATAACATTTCGTAACTGAGCATGACGTAGGTTGAAAAGCTCTTCCTTAGTTCGTGGACGTAAATGAGCTTGTGCTTGCTCCCGCAGATAATATCATACGGTACTGTATGGTGTTAAAAACCCAGGACGAAGACCATATCCTGCATCTGCAAGATAAACTGTATTTTCATGTCTTGGAAATCCATGAATCACAGCATTCTCTAATACTCGAGCATCATTGGCTGAACCCTCCCAGCCAGAACATACATAGAAAAAGTACATATCCAAGCTGCATCCAGCAAGAACATTTTGCGAGAGGGTACCTTTCCGGTTACAATAGGGACCCTGCTGGTTTCGTGGGACATGGGCCAAAATGTGTGTCCCATCGATTGCTCCATGAACATCCTTAAAATTGGACATCTTTCCCCAATTTTTCCGTATTTTTGCAGGAATATTGTTTGGTGGAAGATGTACAAATGCTTCATACAGAGGCAGGAGAGCCTTTAGAACTTGATGAAAATAGCTGTAAAATAATTAGAATAATAAACATTTCATATATAAATATTATAGTGCAATTAATACTAACCATGAAATTGTTTCTCCACTATGCTGAAAGTGTTCCTGAGCTTCCCTATTTGTAGCTCCATGTCCAATAATCCATAAAAACAATACAAGTTGTTCTTCCACAGCTACTTGACGTGTAGACACCAGTAATCCCCTCTCAATTACCCAGTCTCAAAGGTCTAACAATGTTGTAATTGGCATACGAATAACCTCTAGAGCACGATGAGGATGTGCTTGCAGGATTTCAGCAGTATAAATCATTCCAGTTCGAATAGATGTATGAACAGGTTCTTTAGAGAGGAATAGATGAGAATAGAGAGCAGAGGTAATTGCGATATGAATCCGTCTTTGAATTATGGCTGTATGAATTGTGCTCATATTGGGGTGAGATGCCATCTTGGAGGTGTATGAGTTGTTTTCGGAGGTGCCAGTGGAAAATATGATGTATAGGGAATAATCTGGTTATTATTTTTAATTAAGATGTCTTTATACATTACAAAAATTTTTTAATACAAAACTAGCCTAAGTGGGGGACCAGCTACTGTTGCAAACCTGGTTGCCAAGATCCACTTTGGAACGGAACGGTTCTTGTTTTTCTACATTACCAAACACTGGATTTACTCCAACCGTTTTGAAACGGAAGGAAACGGTCGTTTGTATGGGGGAACGGACCAGTTCCGTTCCCGCCAAACAGAGCCTTATCTTCTAGTAACTACAAGATCAGCCCTGCCCCTATCTTCCTCATCCTCACTCTCTTCAAGACCCGACTGGTCATCAGAATCTACAGCCGAACTCTGGTCTTCAGCACCCGGTTGTGCGTTCTCAGCCTGGGATCCGCGGACCCTATCCCTTCCTTGATTGCCAGCCCCATTTAGAATTGGCTGGAACTCCACCGACTCCTGATCAATTCCAAATTCCCGCCTCAATGCATCTAGACTGTCCGAATATCCCTCTGTTCTCTCCACACGAGCTCCCCGATCCCGCACTATTTTCGCCTCCAATACCCCCCGGATCCGCCCCAGGATCATATTCTGGAAGTTTCCAGGTGTATTTGCCCAGGTATGAAGCTGCCGTTCTAACAGCCCTACCATATATTGAGTCGTTAGCCCACCTACCATAATCCCCAGTGGACCTCTTTCGTACGTGGACAGACGTGGCTTACCTCTGGAACTCGCACGGGTGAAGTTAATATTGTCAGTGAAGACCCCGGTCTGCCAGCAGCGTAGAGCATGACATATCATAGCTGTGGTCAGGCACAAGAATCGACCGTTGATCTTTCCTAGGAACCCATCATCCTGCCAGCCTCTCCTTGCCCTGCCGTTATAGAATTGTGCGTATATCACCTTTGGAATTTCCGGTGCGAGGAATCTAAGAGAAAAATCCTGGCAGCCTTTTAGAATTTCTCCGGTCCCGAATGATCGGGAAAAATAGTTCGAAACAAAAAAAAAGAAAAAAGGTTCTTACCCCATAGCTAGCATGGGCACAATTAAAGCGGTCTCTCTCAAGCAGGTATTCCGCCCTTTCTGCGCAGGCTGTCGGATCGTCCGCCACGAGTTTGTAGATACTTATCAACGCCCTCTTCGTGGTGAGCAGATAGTGAGATCTGCTAGAACTGTGCTTGGCCCGTATCTATTCCATTATCGTGGGGTAGATCGCCTATTTAGTCCCTGACCAAATCCGCCTGGGGTACTTCTCGGGAACTTACCTGGTCTTCACTGGAGGTGGTGGCGTCCACAAAGTCCGGCAAGCCTAACTCACGGCGGGCATCGCTCCAACACTGATGGGCCCGCTCAGTCAAGATGACTGGATCCGGGAATGGATCCACAAAAAGCGTCCAGTCCCACATTAGGTCTCGTGCCTTGGTCTGAATCGTCAGCTCAATACCTACTGCCATATTTCTTCTGCTTGCTATCAGCTGCGGACCTGCATGTTCCGATTGTGCTGTTCCTGGCTCCCTTTGTATCGGCGTTGGAGCGACTACAGATTCGGTCGGCGAGCTGGGTTCGAGCATTTCTATATAACTAGTCCGGCTCACCCGGGGGGCAGGTGTTTTCCGTCCGGGCAACCCGACCCTGGTACCTGGCCTCTGGGTGGGAGTGACTGCGAAGCTCAAGGTCGAGTATGATTCATCAAACTCGTTCCCGATTGGCTCCACTCTCTGTGCCCCATAATCCCCTAACTCGTCGTCCTCTCCGGATTCAATCAATTCCTCCGCAGTCTCCTCACTATGCATACCATTCTCGTATTCCCCGTCCTGTGAGTCTACACTCTCGTCCGCTCCACTCCTATCCTGCCATCCATCTCTGTAATTCTGAGACCGTGGTATCTGGGATTGAGATGATACTTGCCTCCGGCCTGCTCGAGATTTTCTAAGTCTGTAACGCATGCTCCCAGCCAGCATCTCCTTAGATCTGGATTTCCGGACACCGCCATCGCGGACTTCCCCCGGTTTCTGCCTGTGCTGCTTGGCTGCGCGTTGTGTGTCAGCAATGGGTTGTGATTGTGGTTGCGGCATCATGAGATAAAAGTAAATCCAATATAGTGTAGGATACTGGAATGAAATGTGGATTGTGTCGGGAAATGTAGATTAGCAGACGACAAAGGCTCTGCGAGTCTAGGGGGTGCCTGGCTTTATTATTTTATAGACCGCGGGGGTCCGCGCTCATGAACTCTATTAAAAGGGACAGCATGTTCACAGCTTGTCACTCGCTTCCATACTCAATGGCGTTAGCACACACCAGCGCGGCCGAATTGTAGCTGGATACCTGGAATAGGAATTTGCATCCTGTAGAGACGTCCGGCTTCAACTCTACCGCGTAATTATTTCGCTGAATGATAATACGAGCGTTGGGTATCCAGGGTTTATAAAGTAGATGAAGAGGTTTATTAGAATGCGCGGACTAATCTAGTTCGAGTAGGTCCGCCAGGGGGGGGGGCGGACCAAAACAAATGCGGGTAAGGCTAGGGCTCAAAGCCTGGGACGCTAATCTCAGAAGGTACAAGCTGCCGCTAAGACCCAACAGATGGGGTATAAGGTGAAAATCTGGGATAGGAAAAGCAATGAAGGGGGCAACTGCGAACCACTGCTGCGAACGAAAAACAGCTAGAAAAGAAGAATGATCCGCACAAAACCAAAGAGCAACAAGTCTAAAACTAGAAGAGCAAAGGTATCCCGAACGAACAAGAGCCGCAAAAGAACAAGAACGATGTGTAAAAAATTGCAAGAGTGAACCTGGAAAGTCAGAAAAGACAAGACCACCAAACGAAAAAACCACCAAACGAAAACACCCAAAGAAAATGTCCAAGCTCCTGCCCTTGTCTCGATAGCATCCGTGGCGGGTCTGAATTAACCACACTGGGTCAGGGCAAACCGGCCCAGCCGCTGGGTCTAATCTAAAACAGAAATGGTCAGGAATGAGCGAGAACAACCCGTAGAACTCTAAAAGCGAACCTCACAAACACCAAAAGGGAAATTCCGAGGTTCCGTAGTGGCCTAGTTCCTGTAAATTCTTTGAAACGGACATACGCCCTCAGGTCAGAAACGAACCGGAGCGGACTCCCAACGTCCGTCTCTGCTGACACAGCAGTAGAACTTGCCGCCGACGTAGCAGATGAAAAACCTGGTAGTTGTAATCGCAGCTTTTCAGGTGTAGGGTATCTACTCGAGCTGGCTGGGGAGTTGGCGGCCGGGCTTAATTCTCGTCCGGCCTCTGCTGCTGACATACTCACAAGCACATCGCTGGTGCTTGGATCAGGTGGGGAATGGCTTCTGCTGGGGGTACTAACTTGGGTTGCTGATGTGTCGGCAGGCTGCTGGGTGCCTGAGGCTAGCATTAAAAGATGCTCAGCTGATGCTCTCACCTGTACCTGCTCAGAGGCATCAGAGGCTAGGTTGTGGCTTGGATTGGAAGCCAACGGAGGACTGTTTGGCGTAATAGGCCTGGTGGTAGGTCGCCGACTCGGATTAACCTCCCCATGAACTCTGTCCAGTTCACTCTCAATACTAGTGTTGATTGCTGTCACCCTGCGGGCGACATTCCTCGGAGGTTCTGCAGCGTCAGCCGGACTGTTTGGTTCATCGGCGTCAGTAATGGCTGCTAGGTTACATTTGGGACTGCTATTGACTGCCGTCTGGGTACGTAGCCGGGATGCTTTCTTTCGGTCAGTCCCCCTTCCTATTTGTCCGCCAGACCTCAAGACACGAGTACCCAAGTCAGTAGACGGTGCGGGGACCTGCTTGCCGGGAGATGGTGCGAAACCGGGATTCAAAGCCGGCATCACCCTGGTGGCCAAATTGCGGCCGCGATCAGCCGAAACATTTGAGTCTAGCTCCGGTTCGTCGACGTCCACCGTACCTCTGCGCAATGTTTGCCCAGTGTTTCTCGAGGTGTTCTTGGTCTTCGTAGTCGGCCTAGTGACTCGCTTTGCGGCCCTCGCAGATGACTCGGGCTGGTGGCCATCTGAGCTCCCATCGTCATCACTATCAGCGGACTCGTCGGAAGGGGTGCCCCTATTATTGCGAGGGGCAAACACAATGTTACCGGGGGGAGGAGTCCCAGCTTCTCCATCAGCGCGATGGACACAGAAAAGCAGATCCATTGGTTCTTTCGGCGAATTCATTGCCCACCAGATGCGGACATGCCTGCTATTTGCGATTGTGATCATTTCAGCCAGCGGCAGCGGCTCCTCAGGATCATCAAGCAGCAAACGTGTACCCTGTCGGGTCGTACCAACGAGCAGACGATATCCGACTCCCCGTGCCAAGACTCTGTCCAGGTTTGCAAGCAGGTTCTGATGGGTGGGTTCGGTCAGCTCCATCCAGTAAACATATTCATGGGTTTGCCACTGGATCTTGTCCAATCCGATCGGGAGTGGGCTGCCCGGGCGGACTACGGATGGTTCATCTACCCAAACACGGACAGAGCGCGGACCGGCGAGACCTGCAGGAGCCATGTTCGTATATATTGTACTGTACATATTCGATGCGGACTGTTTGAGGCAATTTACGATCATTTCCGACTGCAAGGGGGGCTGCAACAGCGGCAACAGGTTGTACCCACAACAATTCTGACAAGGTACGTTGATGTTTTTTTGCTACGTCCTTTAGCAATAAATCGAGGCATTCGGTAAAACGTTCGCCCCGGGCTGAGACCGCCTGCCAGAGTGCCGCTCTCCGTGAAACGGGCGAGATGGTGAGAGCATGTGCCTGAATGACCGCCCATTGGGCGGCTGTACTCTGCTTCCAGCCTGGGATCCTGTCTTGCTCCATCTTACGTTTCATGGCATTCCGCCAAGCTCTATACTCTTGACTAAAAGTACTCGGGTTGGGGAAGCCGCAGACGTACTTACACCAGGAAATATCACTATCGTTTTCATGACCCTGTGATTTCGGGTATGTGAGTCCAACCTTCGAGATTTCCATTGTAATGGCGGTCGGGGTGGGGGGTGGTTGATGGGTCCGAAAGTGTTTTTTTGTTTTTCTTAAACGGCCTTTAAGCGAATGAAAGATGTCGGCAAACAGATGCCGGTAGCCTGGGGGATGACCGGAGAATTGTTTATCCTAGAAATGAAAATGGAAATGGAGTGGGCCTGGCAGACGATAAAGGGAGATAAAAGGAGTTCCGCGGATGATAAATGGCTGCCAGAAGGTTAGCTAGGGAAATGCAGATGATAGTACTGAATTGAGCTGAGGATATACTAGTGATACCGTAGACGAATAAGAGGTTGTACAGAGCTTTTTGGGTCTTAGAATGGGCGGGCAGATCGATGAAGGAGGTGATTCTGATTCGGGAAAGAAGTTTGGAGAGGGGATGGATAGGGGGAAGTGAGAGCTTGTGTGGGCCGCGTGGGGACAGTTTTAGTGGGGTTCACATGATTGTACCCATACGAGCTTGAATATCGATATCTTGAATCTTGAAAGGTCACGTGATAAGCGCAAAACGAAGCCGATAAGCTTCAGATAAGGTTTCAAGCCGCAAGGAGCCGCAAGTGAGCCCTCAGGGGCACGCCAAGACCCTACCCCTATGTAGCATAAACACCAAAGTTGGGGCAGGCCACATCAAACCGCAGACTAAGACTCTTGATTGTGTCGGGAAATGTAGATTAGCAGACGGCAAAGGCTCTGCAAATCTAGGGGGTGTCTGGCTTTTTTATTTTATAGACCGCGGGGGTCCGCGCTCATGAACGTTCTTGAAGAGGCCAGTATGTTCACAGCTTGTCACTCGGTTTAAGTACATGATTCTTTCATGTATTTTGAATTTTAAGAGTAACTATGTCACCGTTGCTAAAGGGAAACTATGGTCTGACTGTCTTGCGGACAATGCGCATACTGGGTATAAAGTTATATTGATATGCACGGAGTAAATCTAATCAGGGCAGTCCGCCAAGCGTACTACAGCAAATACAGTAAGTGGCAAGGTATGCTAATCTAAAAGGGTATAAGTAGGAGGTAAATGCACGGTACCGGTATTAGGAATATGGGAGGAAAAGCGGGAGCCAAAGATACAGACCACCGGGGGGGCAGATAAAGAGGGCAGTTCTAGACGAAGAAGGTTGGGGAATAGATCGGAATAATGCTTGGAAAAAGAGACTACACAAAAACAACTTCGAGAGGGCAGTAGAGAAAGTACAGGAGGACGCGCGGTGAGATGTCCGCGATGAAAAAAAAAAAAAAAAGGGTACAAAAACTCCGGGGAAGATCTTCCCGATCAAAAACAAAGGAGAAGCAGCTACCATCCACACCCACCCGCAGACCCGGGCTCATACTGGTAGTACTCGTACTAGGTGGTCCGCTCTGCCGGGTTCTTGGCCTCCCCAAGCCGGAGCTACAGTCACCAAAGGAGTTAGCAATAGTGTCCCGAATACGTGACGGAATTGTCCGTTAGGTAAAAACAAGGGGTACAGGGGGGAGTTCCCAGCCGGTCGGAACGTACCTATTAGTGCTACTCCAGTTTCTTTTCCCTGGCCGACTTCCAGCAGTCCAGAGGCAACCCTGAGGAGGTGTTCAGCTGACGATCTCAACTCCACGTCTTCGATCGCGACTTCTTTTGGGCTCAGGTGGCCAACAGACGGAAGCGGGCTAAGTGGCGGACTAGGCTCACCAGGTGGCTCACCAGGCAGACTTCCAACTTCGAATTCCGCATCCGAGTCCGTCACCGGGGTCTCAGCAGTCCGAACGATCTTCCTCGGCGGCCCGAAAGTGTCGGCCAGGTCATCAGAGTCTTCGCCGTCTCTAGCAACCACAAGATGGCGCTTGCGCGAGGAACCGAATGACCTCCAGGCAGGTACTTTCTTTCCATCAGCCTTGTCCACCATAAACGTCTGAATTTGTCTGCCTGACCTCAAGACATGAGTATGTTCAAGGGGGACGGGAGATTGCTTACCAGCAGGAGAGATTCGGCCCGGGAAACGAAGAGAGACAGGAGCTTTATGGATAACGTCCGGTAATAGTACTGGGTCTGACGATGAATCGCGGACGCCATCTTCTACAGAATCGCGGCCCGAATCCGCTGCCCCATGAGCGCGACGTGTACGCCCCGTTCTTGTATTCCTGCTTTTTCCCCCACTCAGCTTCTGCCCGCTTCTGTCCTTTGTGGGCCGTCTTGCAGCCTTGGTAGAGGATTCTGGCTGGCCCTCGCCGTCACCGTCATCGTCATCGTCATCATCGTCATCGCCATGGTCATCGCCATCCGCATGGTCCTCGTCCTGGTCCTCATCCTGGTCCTCGTCCTGGTCCGGCTCATTTTCATCGTCCGGCTCATTTTCCTCATTATCATCTGGGCTAGCTGGACCATTCCTGTCTTCGCGTGGCCCATATGGATATGCCCGAGGGGGTGGAGTACCGGGTTCGTCGGGACTGGTTCGATGCCTCCGGAAAAGCATGTCCATCGGTTCGCCTGGCGGACACTGTCGCCACCACATGCGGACATGCAGGTCATCAACGAGAACGATGATTTCAGACAGCGGCAAGGGTTCCTCGGGGGAGTCGAGAAGCAAAAGGCTGCCGTACCTGGTGGCGCCCAAGAGATGACGGTAGCCCATGGGGCGAGACAAAAAGCGGTCAATATTCGTGAGGAGGTTTTCGAGCGTCGGCTCAGTCAACTCCATCCAGAAAACAGCTTCATGGGTCTTCCATTGGACCCGGTCGAGACCGCGGGCGAGCGGGGTGTCTGTACGGTAAGTGGATGGTCTATCAAACCAAAGCCGGATTACACGCGGACCAGCCAAACCTATGTATATGATATCAGCACGTTGACTAGCACTATAATGCGGACAGTCAGGGTAGGAACATACTATCATTGGAAACAGCCGGTACGGGCGGAGGAGCAGGAACAGCCGGAGGGACAGGGATACCCATTGCCATCAACGTTCTGGAATGCTTTTTTGCAATATCATTCAATAAAAAGTCGTAACATTCCGTAAAACGCCGGCCCTTTACGTTGTCCTGCTGCCAGAGAGCTGCCCGACCGTTGCTTGCAATGGGCTCGACAGTCAGGCCATATGTCTGGATAGCTGTCCACAGGTCGTCGGTCGCCAGTCTATAGCCGCGGATTCCTACCTGCTCCATTCTCCTCTTGATGGCAGTCCGCCAGGCGCCATACTCAGGACCAAAAACCTTCGGGTCAGGGAATCGGCAGATGTGCTTGCACCATGTGATATCTCCATCATCTTCATGGCCAATAGTTCTAGGACAAGAAAGCCCGCTCTTCGAGGCTGGCATGGTAAATGGAGTGATGGTGAAACTAAGGGTTGAAGAGATGCTGTCTGCGGCTGTTCGCTTTAGAACTAATGCAGTTTGACAAAAGGCTAGGAACAAGGATTCCGGTTCTGCGCGCTGGGCGGCTCTGGGGGAGGGGGTGGATGGTCGAAGTGTCTTCTCCGGACTAAATACGGCTGCGAGGAGGATTCTTCAAGTTAGCTTGCATAATCAAAATCAATATATAAGGAATACAGAGCGTATATCGAACCGAGGTGGGGTTGCAGGTAGTAGTAGCGATCGGGGTATACACGAGTGACGGCTGGTGCAAGAGGTTTGGATCAAAAGTGTCGGGGGTGTGGGGAGAAGATGGATGGGCTTGCAGTCGATGAGGAATGATATGGGGAGGGGAAGGAAGGAAGGAAGGAAGGAAGGTGGGAAGCAATTGTTTATAAAACCCGTGGGGGACAGTTTTCATCTGGTAAACATAACTTGTACACTGTACAAACGGGGCCAGCCCAGAGCAGCACGTGATATCGCCTTCAAAATATGTATACTTGAAAATAGGGTTTTAAGCCGCAAGGAGCCGCAGGTGCGCCTCACGGGCATGCCAAGATCCTACCCCTATATAGTATAAACACCAAAGTTGAAATTGGCTACATCAAACCGCAGACTAAGACTCTTGATTTTCAAGTTTTGCAATCGATCAACTAACTACTCGAAGGCAATATTCATACGCTCCGCTTCCCGACTTACACTGCGTACGGGTCTACTGTGATACACCTCGAAACCTTAAAGGCGGGAAGCCAGGGAGAACGACTATGGCCCTTAAGACAACAAAGTGTCCTTACTGTTGGCGGCGTTATCAACGAGCTGGCGCATACCAAACCCATATTAAGACAATGCATGGAGATGTCATGCTTTCCCGCCGGATGGCCACTGGCTCTGGATCAGCAAGCTCATCCGCGCCGGTATCTTTTATACAGCCTGAGGATGATACCACGAACGGGCGTATCTTTGCCATGGGGGACGAGTTCACAGATGTCTGGGGAAACTCTGACTATGAGTCTGACCGTCCGATTTTAGCCAGCAATTCTGGAAGCCAACGCGCAATGGCTGATGACGTACAGCACGATTCGGACGTGGAGGACGCGGAGGACCTTTTGCGGCCCCCTGATAAGTCGACGCCATCTACTCGGCAAACGATCCCGGGTGCTGGCAGAGCACTTGGCGATGTTGCAGGATACATGGAGCTCAATCAGGCCATGCTTCAAGAGCCATGGAGTCTTTTTTCGTCGGAACAGGACTTCGATTTGGCTAGCTGGTTCGTGCGGAGCAAGGTAGCAGTGTCGCGGATTAACGATTATTTTCGCAAAGGCTTAGGTGGTACTGAGCCGCGATCATTTCGGTCCGCGCATACATTAAAAAAGCATCTCGAGGTGCTGGACCCATTCAGCGAATATCTGTCGTGGGCAGAGGCCACGCTGGAGAGTGGCGGGCGTTCAACAACTTTCTACTATCGAAATATTGAATCCTGCGTCCGCTACCTAATCCGCCAGGTGGCTTATAGAGCAGATATGGTTTACGCACCTGTTTGTGAATATGATTCCAGCGGTGGCCGGTTGTATTCGGAGATGCATACGGCAGACTGGTGGTGGGAGACTCAAGTATGAAATATATCCACCCCGTTACTTGCTTTTTCTAATACTAAGGTCCGAGTACAGCAAACACTGCCAGCCGGTTCAACAGTAGTCCCTATTATCGGACTGTCGGACCAGACTCATCTTACGAACTTCTCGGGCGACAAGAAAGCGTGGCCGGTATATGTGACCATCGGTAACATCCTTTCGCGGACACGAAGCAGCCCGACCAAGATGCCGATCCTACTGCTTGCTCTACTACCTGTGCCCCCAAAGTTCACTAGGGAATCAGCCCGTGCCGACGAATTGCAGCGCCAGATTAACGCGGATGCATTACGGGCTGTCTTTGACCTTGTCCTAGCCCCCTTGGAGAAGATTGCGCAAGACGGCGTGGTCATGGACTGTGCGGATGGGAAAAGATGCCTATGCTTTCTAATCTTGTCTGCCTGGATCACGGATCACGCTGAGCATACTGTGTTGCACGGAATAACGAGCAAGTCATGCCCAAATTGTGAGGTTACAGCCAGAGAACTTGGCCAGGGCCCGGATCAGACATATACGGCCCGCGATTACGCCATTTATACGCTAAAGACAACGGAGTACGAGCAGACAGGAGCTATCAATATCGCTAACTATTTCCAGCAAATTGGAGTAAAAATAGGCCGCAATGTATTCACCGGACTCTCCCGAGTAAACCCTGCTGAGCTACATAAACCTGACCTTTTACACAACATCTACCTGGGACTTTTTAAGCATATGACGGAATGGGTAGAGGGATTCCTGAAAAAGCATAAACGGCAAAAGGAATTCGATGAGGTCTGGAAGGCATTGCCGCCTTATCCCAGATTCAGCGTACCAAAAAAGTCATATCGAGAAGTCACACAATAGCAAGGCAAGGAAATGCGAAATCTTGGCCGCTGTATTACAGCCGTATTGGCGTCGGCTCTGCGGAATCCGGACAGTTCACAGCAGCGACCTTTCCAACAGGCATTACGGTGCGTCTGCTCACTGATCGATTTCAGACTGATGGCTCAGTATCGCAGTCATACGCCAGAGACACTTCAGTACATGGAACAGTATCTGCGGACTTTTCACGAAACAAGAGATATATTTCTTGAGTTCCGGACATTTAAGGCTACACGCGTACAGGCAGACCGCCAGAATTGGGAAGTGAGGGAAAGGATTGCCAATCAGCAGACAGCTTTGGTCCATGGTCTATCCGCAGCTGAACGACGCCGACTCCGGGACCAGGGCTGGCTAGAGAGGGCTGATCTGCTGGATGAACTGATACAACGAGAAAACCACTTCAATTTCATCAAGATGCATTACTTGAATCACTTTGAGCCACAAGTCCGACATTTTGGGTCCATCTTAATGTATTCTACTGATATCGGCGAGCTTGCACATAAAGAGCAGCTTAAGGAAGGCTACAGGAACTCAAACAAGAATGACGCATCCCGGCAGATCCTGGTGGGGTACGGCCGCTAGCATGCGATTGGAATGAGATTACTCACGATAGAGGCACTTAGGAAGATTGATAATGCGGTCGTATTAGGGAATACCGGCGTCCGGACCAAAAACAATAGAATACAGTCTGCCCCAAGTGATGATAGTCCGCGACGAGTCCTGAAAGGCTGGATCCCTGACGTTGGTACCGTGATAGAGCTTTGCCGTGCGCTCGAGATCGCTTACGACGACATGGCTGCGGTGTTGGTTACCCATATCCGGCGGACTGCGGTAGAGAACCGGAGGTTACCCGTGGACCCCAGCGAACTAAGATTTCTCCCGGCTGAGCGATTTACAATGCTGGAAATCCCAGTGCTCGACTTTCAAGAGACCGACGTCTTTCAGATTCATCGAGTACGCTGTACAGGAAAGCTGTCATTCCGGAACACTGGTGCACGGAATGATTGGGTCTGGATCCAGGTTGGCGGACTGGATCTATATGGGGATCTGCGTGGGCGCACTGTAGCACGCTTGTTGGGACTATTTAAGATAGGAAATGTCCGGGCTGGGGCAGTTAGTCGGCTAGCAATGGTTCAAGTACTGGAGCCTGTCAATGGTGGCAGATTTCATGAGTTTAGCGGACATATAAGAGTCCGCAAGCGGACCACCGGGAGGGATGTGATGATAATTGAGATAGGTGTGGTGGTAGGATAGGCACACGTGGTTTGCTACGGGGATGGGCATTGGCTAGTGAATAGCAGAATTGATCTGCAGACGTTTAATGAAATTTATTGAGAGTTTCTATGTACATATGAGAGCGCAAAAGATAAAAAGATAATTGAGAAAAAAAAAAAAGTACTGTAGATCAAGGGGACATAGTTGGTTGGGATAGATCCGCGAGGTGGCCCACGCAAGGCCCGACGGAATTGGGAAATTGAAGATCTGCGATGGGCGGCAGACTGTAAAAGAAATCTGGGATTGCAGCGAGCGGAAGAGAAAGACCGGGATCTTGTCGGACGTGAAAGGATGAATTTGGTACGCGTCAGGCGAAAAGAGCAGGCATGAGCCTTTAGGCGGATAGAAACGAGACAGGAAAGGTAGGGGTGGCCCCGGGTGAAAGTGATATTGAGGGGAGAACCCAGACGAAAAGGATGGGTGCCCGGCTCATCTGGTGGGGAATGAGGTGGTAGTGTGCGTTATAATGCAGTGGGTGTGATCGGGTAACAAGGGTAGGCGTCAGGAAGAAGGGGACGAGCAGGGCGAGCAGGGCGGACGGCTTCCGTCTGGATGCGGGCTTGATTCGTCCGATGCAAACGCTGTTTTTGCTGATGTCCTTGCCTGCCTCCCAGGCTCACAGGAGAGACATTATAGTATTATTTTTTGACATTGCTGCAGCTGTCCTTAAAGAGGCCAACTGCTCCCTCTCCAAGACCCTTACTGCCAAGGTCAACAACAATGGTATTGTTACTCTCCTGGTTCATGATTTGAATGCCCCAGCTAGGGAGTACGACTCCAACTACGAAGTGCTCTCCTCTTACCTCAACAAATCTTATCCCATTTGTGACCACTATTACCTCTGTTTCTGCTCAGTGCCCAACAAGGTACAACTGTCTGTCTTCTTCCTCTCTGTCTTCTACCTTTCGGATGATCATGAATGTCTCCTTCAGAGCTTGACAAAGATAATCCTTAATGTCAGAGACGTCTAGATCCTCACCGCCTGGTTCCTTGTCTAGGAGAAGGAGCAACAATTATCTAAACCAAAAACCTCAAGCATTGTTATCGTAGCTTCCTTAGACGTTGACCAGAGAGTGGGTAAGACTGTCCTCTATACTTCCTGGTACCATCTTGAGTGTGCCTTCTCCACCAACATGTTTACACTATGTAAGAACTGCTAGTATTATAGCCACCTCATGGCCAGGTGCAAGATCAACTACCTCATCAGTTCTATTTGTACTCTCAGTAATGCAAGGGCAGTGCATGGCTGCCAGAATCTAAGGTGCTCAAATAGAGGCAACCTCTAACCTGTTGTTAACTATTACCCCACTTCTATTCCCTGCTGGGCCAACTGATCTAGCAATGAACACTCCTTCAAATAGTCCTGCTCTCAATGCCCTATTCGCTCCCTCTACTGCCCCACAGAATCTCCTTCAATACAGAAGAAAGAGATAGATATGATAGACAATAGAGGAGAGAGTCCTTCCTCTAGACCTGTATATCCCCAATTCCTTGCTCCTTTTGTGGACCTGGAGGAGGTCTCACTCACAGAGCTCTGCTTGAGTTGCAGTTGACTACTCGTGTTGTAATGGGGGCTCCATCTGGGAAGATGGATCCTAAGGTTGCAACCGTACCGAAATGAATTCTTCCACAATGTGAACAAATATAATAAATGTCAAAAGTCTCAACAGTATTGTTTGAAGAAACAAAACGGTAAAACTTAATATCGTTAAGCCACAGCTTTTACTCAATTAAGTCCTGATCTCGAGAGGTAGTTGATCGCCAGCGTAGAGGAGAACTCGCATATACTTAAGTAGATTTTATATACTGCCAGTTGCTCCCCATCACTACTCTGTATTCACGAGCACCTAACTCCTTTGGGCTGTCTAGCTAACCTCTATGGGTGGGACCAAAGATCTCCCATAGTGAACTAGACTACTCTTGTAGTTTGCTAACACCCACCTGATAGAAGTATTTTAGCCGCTGCATCTACAATGCAACCGTTGGAGTAAAAACTCTTCATATTACGGACATGTCAGTGGCAAGCTGTCATGCCCGAGTAGATTTGATACCAACTATGTAACGTGTTCGCAAGGTGCTAATCACGTTATGGGTAATAGATACGATAGTTGGCAGGTGGCCTGCTCTTCCAGAGAGGAGGCGAGAGCTGAGAACTAAAGGAGGCTCCGAGGGTGTACTGGGGAACAAAGAAGTAACCGTTCAACCAAGTATATTGAAATACTGTCTGTCGAAGTCTGCCTTTTCTATCGTAGAAACAGGCGGTCTTTAAATACACAAATCTGTTCATGCCTAGCATGAATGAAACTAATCAAAGGTATCAATCGATACACTTTGGTAAAACTCCTTAAGTATCAAAGCGATACTTAAAACAAAACATAAAACAAAACCAAGTATCAAACGATACTTAAAACAAACCAAGTATCAAAGCGATACTTAAAACGAAACATAAAACAAAACCAAGTATCAAACGATACTTAAAACAAACCAAGTATCAAAGCGATACTTAAAATGAAACATAAAACAAAACCAATAACCGAGTACCCGTACCGGTTACATTCCCCAAAATAAAACAACTGTTTAAACAAACAAAAACTAATAATCATCAAAATCATCAGCTAAAGAATCAAAGGCTTCAAACTCCGCCATCTCTTGTTCATCATAAGTATCACACCAGGGACAAGAGGAAACTCTAAGGAAACACCTAGACTCGAAGAAATCTAAGTCGCAGTAGTCACGAATACCAGATTCGTGCTGTACATCAACCCAAGCATGATCGCAATCAGGACAGTAGTCAATCCAGAGAATTTCGAAATAGTCTTCAAGTTGGATAACATCGCGGTTCAACAACAGTCCAACAACCTGTTGTCGCTGCCTCACATTAAGCTCCACATAGTTTGACATCGTTATGGTATTCGGATGGTGATTGGTGACTAGATAAAGTTGTCGAGGGCCTGCTCCATAGCTTGATTCTCCTCATCGCTGATTTCGAACTCCGATTCAAAGTATGGTGCCCAAAATCCATCCCTAGCTTCAAGTTCTGTGTGCCATCGCTCAGTTTCTGGCATTGTAGGTGTCCAGCACATGGTGATATAATTGATTGTTGGGGGGAGGGATTTGCTTGGCATGTTGTCTTTCCACCATCCGTTTACCATATCCATAGCGTGCTCCAGTCCTTCCAGTGGTTCCCAACTGTTTTCGCTCGTTGGATATCCTTTCCATTTGACTAAGAATTGATCCTTTCCATGTTAAAGGCGGTGGTCTCGGATTTCTTCAACTTCCCATTCATCTTTCTTTTCAATGATAATAGGTGCAGGTCGAGAGTGGGTCATTCCAGGGAACTTGGAGTCGTCATTTGGGTGGAATCGTTTGACAGCAGAGGCATGGAAGACTGCAGTATTGTGGCGGTACATACGTCTATCCATCTGGACAGTGTAGTTCTCTGTATGCTCGTCAAAGGATATGACTTTGAAGGGTCCACGCCATCGCGGTTGCAATTTCTTGCTCCGTCCAACATTGGTAATGAACATATTACCGTGTACCATGAGCATGTCTCCTGGCGAGATGGGGACATGTTTGCGTCGTCATTTCTGGGCAGTAGTGGTGCTTCGGAATCGGACAGCCTTGACAGCTTGGAAGGCATCGTTCGGAATTGCTTGGTGGCGGTTTAGATGGTCATCAGAGGCAGGGACTGAGGAGTTCTTGAAGAGGGTTGTAGGTAAGAGAGGATATTGGCGGCCAAAGACTGCCTTGTATGGTGACATTCCCAAGGTATCTGAAAATCCAGCATTGATATATGCCGCGAGCTCAACAAGGGCTGGTTCCCAGTTGGTTTGTCATTCATTGATCCTATTCCTAATTCCGGTTTTAACTTCGCGAATCTTTCTTTCTGCTTGGCCATTTGTCTCATGATGTCCAGGGGAAGCCATAATGTAGTTTATTCCGAGAGAGGTCAAGGTTTGCTTCCAGAATCTGGCGGTAAAGCGGGGATCAGCATCACTGACAATAGATAAGGGGTACCCATGGGGGGTAAACAAGTATCGTTGTAGGTTATTCCAGGTGTCTTTGGAGGAGTTGGTAACCTTCATTGGTATTAACCAGGTGTATCCAGAGAATCGATCCACAGCTACCAAGATGGTGTCATATCCGGCGGACTTGTTGAACGGTCCTGCGAAATCGATGGCATATGATTCGAATATTTCGCATGGTAGTTGGAGGGTCTGTGCCTTTCCCTCTGGTAGTTGTGTTCGCTCCTTGTTTGCCTGGCAGAGTTCGCACTGTTTGACGAAATCGCGGAAATCCTTGCGCATCTCAGGCCAGTAAACATATTCCGAAGCATATTGAAGGTTGCGGTCCACACTGTGGTGTCCTTTGTTGTGAATCTCGGATATGACATATTCTCTAATAGTCATTCCATTGAACATATGGCCTTTTGGTACGTATAGGCAATGTTCACCATAACGGGTGCTGGTATAGACCATTCCGTTTGATATGTTGTAGGGGGCGAGGTCTCCATGCCTGGAGCTATCCATGGCTTTGAAATAGATCGGGTCATGGCGGTATCCTGCTATTATTTGGCTTTGGAAGGAGGAGGTTAATTCTTCTGTGGTCGATCTAACATCTCGCTCATCCTCGATTAGGGATCCTCATGTTGGTTCGATAGGGGCTTCCGCTTCCTCAAAGGTTTCATAGAGTTGACGGCGATGCTCGGGAATAGTAGGGGGTATGACCGAGACAATGGTTTCATTGTTATATACTCGTAAGGGTCCACCATATAGTGGTCGTGAATTGATTATGGGAGGAGAGGATGGCAGGACTGGCTGTGGGGGGTGTAAATAGGATATTGCATCCACGTAGGCTGCTGCTTGTTCGAGTTCTTCAAGACCTTGGTATCGTGTTGGAACAGGATTAAGGGTATGAGGAGGCTGGGTCGATTCATCTTCATTGGTGATCACTGCTGCTCCTTCTACGGTGTCGAAGCTGGTGTTTTTGGAATCGTCAGCAGGCATATAGAACGGTCGCTGGTATCTGTTGCCGAACTTGATCTCAGTCTGGTG